CCCCACTCTTTGGGTTTGAAAGCAGTTTCTTTCTATTTAAATCAATGTATTCTTTGGCACAGAGGAAGTACCTTCTCAAATGTCTTGAATACCTCCTTACTCACAACAGTTTCTCATTCAATGGAAAGTTTTACCTTCAAAAATGTGGGGAGGCGATGTGTGCCAGGTTTTCACCCTCTCGCCAACCTATATGTGGGTTGGTGGGAAAGGTTGAAAATATGATAACCTGTCCTGCTCGTACATTAGGCTTTTCCAGTGGAATATTGATGACTTTATATCAGGGGCGGACTGAAAACTCATGGGGCCCCCCCGGGCAATTGGGGATCATGGGGCCCCTGTGTCCTTACCCAAACTCAAAAAAGCCTATGGGGCCCCCTACTGACCCCGGGCCCTCGGGCACTGCCCAAGTTTCCAAATGGTCAGTCCGCCCCTGCTTTATATTCATATGTTCTGGGGAGCTGGGGAAACTTAAGGATTTTTGTTATACTTAAAGTGTTACTAAACCCACAACAGTAAAATCAGTCTGCAAATGCAGTAAAGCATGCTTGGTATACTCACTGCGGAACCTAAGGGGTTATTCCTGTGCATTGTTTAAAAAGGCTGTTTGATCTTGACTTCTATGATCCTCCCCTTCTACTGTCCCCCTCTTATCTCCTGATAGGACATATAGTGTGGAGTCGCTCTACACATGCTCAGTTTGGTGTGTATTGCTAGAGAGGCTTTTGTTTTTCATGGGAGAGTGCATGTGATCAACACAGGACCAATCAGCACTGTCCAAGACAGAGGTCAGGGGTCTGCATCCTCCTAGAGCAGAATGAAAGCTCCTCTTACAAGCTTTAACATGTGCTCTGCTGGACACTGATAGACGTCACAAGACTGCTTTAACTGCTGATGACAAAAGGAATTTAGCAGTTTATATTTACTAAAACAACTGTACTACCATGTTCTGTGTACTGTGGGAGACCAGAAATAGTGAATGCAGGGTCCTGTGTTTAGTAACACTTTAAATGACATGGGAAAGATAGATAAGAACGCAACAGCTTTTTGAATGTTGTAAATGTAAATATGCTCACATACTTTCAGGTGGAGTTAGAGTGGTCTCTCAACATGCCCCATTACTGGGGAGCTCTTTCACCTAGTTATCTTTCCTCTTGGGTTGCACAAGGGGACACCTGGTTAAGTTTTAGAGATAATTACCCGTGTAGTACAGGTGGGTGCTATTGTTGCCCACGTTTGGTAAGGGGAGAGGCTTCATGTCCACAGTTAGTGGAAAGGAGTACAGGATTAAAAACTTCATTAACTGTAACACTAAACATCTGGTATACCTCATTACTTTTAAGATACAGTATGTGGGCAGGACAAGCAGGAGGCTTTGTGATCACTGTGTGATCACCTCCATGACATACATAAACATTCTATGAATTTTACTAATCATTTTAATGGTCAATATGGAGGCAGTCATAAGGCCCTGTGTACACAGGAAATTAAGAGGCTTAAGGGACCCCTGGGGGGGGGCACATGTTCAGGCTGCTGTGCAAACGTGAGGTCTTTTGGATTTTTTTCTATCTATTAACACCCTAACGGTTTAAACTTTGAATGTGACCTTACTCATTTTTATGAAAGTGTATATTTGTGCAGCAGTCTGATCCCCTTCAGGTTTTCTTTCTTCGCTACCCTTTATTCTTCTATTTGGTATACAGATTTTGAATCCATTGCAGCCTGTGGGATAATTCTGGCAGCGAGAATAGCTCTGATAATGTATCTAATTTGATGAATCATGTACTTTTCATCTGTAAGTTGTTGTTGAGGTAATATTTTGTGAATATTTTGCTGATTATTACATACTAAGTTTTTTAACGTCACTTTGTGGGTTAGGTTAAAGCAGAGTTCCACTTGAAAAAAATAAATAAAAGTCAGCAGCTACAAAAACTGTAGCTGCTTACTTCTAAAATACAGCCACATACCTCTCCCTCGGTCCAGCGGTGTCCTCACCACCGCTGGTTTCACCGGCCGTCTTCTCTCCCTGACGCCGGAATCTTCAGTGTGGGCACCCAGCTGTGACAGGTTGCGGCTTCACTGTGGGCACCCAGTGCGCAAAAAGTGCTGCGCTTTGTGAATGGCCCCATAAAGACTACGGGGAGAGGGGGGGGCAACAACTTCCACTTCCAATCGCCTTGGAAGTGGAAGTGGGAGCAGGTACCTGTCAAATTCGGGTACCCACTCCCCAAAGGTGCCAATCTTTAATGGGGAGCGGGGACAAAGACTTAAAGCAGAACTTCCCCTTTTGGGTGGAGCTCCGCTTTAATATCTGGTTCTCGGCATCACAGAGGATGTTGTGCGGTGGACTGGTTGGGAATAGGGTTTGTGCTTAAGCTCTGTGTGTTCTTTGGTTGAAGTATTTGAGCCGAAATTTCATTCATGCTGACTCAGACTCCAGGGAGAGGGCTAATCACAAGTTAATTGACAGCAGCTGTACAATCAATATAAGAATATCTTGTGATCAGGTCTAGATACTGAGCATTGCAACAGGACACAGCAGTTGCAGATCATGCAAGGGGAAGCAGGCAGTACGCCTGAGCACCGCAAAGTACTGGTACGTCACAGTGCCTGGGGAAGCCGCTGACCAGCAGTAAAATTATGGTTGGCCAGTCAGCAAGTGGTTAAGAAATATAAGCCACATATCATGTCTCCAGGAGACACATCTTGCAGGCTCTAAACAGATTGATAAACAGAGTGCTTAAGCAATATTAAACTGTTAAATCTTTTCATGCTACATGCCCCTCCTACTCTGGGGGGGGGGATCTCTACAGTATAGTAAGTGCCTCCCTGCTGATGCTGTGGAGGTTAAAACAGATCCAGATGAGAGGTATGTAGTAATAGCACTGCAAATCACCTATCTGCCTCCCTTCTCATCTGATTTTTTTACTACATAAACTATCCCTCCTATCTTTGAACCTACCTAGAGGCCCCTTGATTTATATTGGAGACTTTAACACAGCTCCGAGATCTACTATGCACCATTTGGAGGGTGGTGGTAAACTGTACCAAACATTTTTAGCTTGGATACAAATGTATGGTCTAACTGATGTATGGAGAAGGAAGCATTCAAAAGCTAGACAATATTCCTGTTGCATAGATTTCATGTTTTCATGCCATGTCCCAGGTAGATTCGGCTTTCGCTTCATCTGCCACCCTGCCATTTATAACTTCTGCCTGCTTCTCCCTAGGGGAATTTCAGACCATGCACCTCTCTCACCAGACCTTCAACTCCTTCCCCCTACAGGTCCTAAATGGTGCCTAAATTACCAGTGGCTAGAGGATGAATTGCTGCAAGGGGAATGTACAAAAGGCATAGCGGAGTATTGGAACCTGAATGTTAATACTGCTCCCTCGACGGAGTGGGAGGCCTTCAAGACCACCCTCCATTATACTATGTAAAAATGTTCACAGATGAAAACTGGGGAACTGGAAACCTATATACTGCAAGCAGAAAGCTATGTTTCTGACCCTAGCCAACCATACAATCTGGCTAAATAAACGCACAGAATACAAAATCTGGCTTTTGGACATCACTAAAAAAAGATGCTATACACTACAGAAACTTTTTTAACATGGTAATAAAGCTGGCCGTCTTCAGACCTGATTTTGTTCCTACCTCATTCCCCTGTATCCAACTGTCCACCGACCACGTTAGCAAATCTCCTCGTGAGGTTCTGGATGCTTTCAAGTCATCGAACTAGATGCACTCATGAGAGATCAAACTTGCTACCTTACAACTACCTGCACAAAAACAGAGTCTGGATGGCTATCTGGTTGACTGGTATGCTAAGTTTAAGCATCTCTTGAGCCCTTATCTCCTTCGCATCTTTGTCACAATATTTGAACACAAGTCCAAAGTCCCGTTCCCCCCCCCCACACTATGAGAAAAGCACCAATTTTCCTTATTCAAAGATCCACTTGGATATGAAACACATAGACCCATTTTTTTAAAATTAATGTGGATATGAAGATATTAGCCAATCAAACTGACTAAGTACGGTGGTTGCGCATTTAGTAAAAGGCAATCAAGGAGAATATATACCTGGTCAGTCAACCAAAATGAATATGCGGAGGCTATTTGAGAATTTACAATACCCCTATGACCACTCACACATATGTGTAATTGTTTCCTTAGATAGACGTAAAGCCTTTGCTAGTGTGGAGTGGCCTTATCTTTTTTTGTGTAATACAGCTCTATGGCTTTGGCCCACGAATGCCTGTATACGTCTTCTGTATACCAGCCTGGTAACTAGAATTCATGTAAATACCCAAGTCCTAGATGCCTTTGAATACATTGAGGAACCCGACAAGAGTGTCCATTATCCCCATTTTGTTTGCTCTGGATATAGAGCCTCTGGCCTGTTGTACTTAATTATTACAGGTACTTATATAGAGCCGTCAATTTACGCAGTGCTTTACATATATATTGTATATTCACATCAGTTTCTAACCCTCAAGGGACGTACAACCTAAGGTCCCTATATACTCATACTAGGGCCAATTTAACTACTCGCTCTTCAGAGGATTTACCCTCCTTCCTGATCAGGCCATTTTTTGCAATATGGCACTGTGTTATTTGCATGGTTAATCGACCGATCATGCAACGCTACACCCAAATGAAATTTATGTCCTTTTTTCCCCATGAATAGAGCTTTCTTTTGGTGGTATTTGATCGCCTCTGCGGTTTTTATTTTTTGCATTTAAGAAAAAAAGTGTGCCGATTTAAAAAAACAAAACAATATTTTGTACTTTTTGCTATTAAACATGTCCAGTAAAACATTTTTAAAATTTTGTAATAAATTTAGGCCAAAATGCATTCTGCTACATGTCATTGCTAAAAAAAAAATCCCGATACCTGTAAATTAATTGGTTTACATGAAAGTTATAGAGTCTACAAATGGCAGTATAGATACTGGAATTGTTAAAAATGTTTTATACTAGTAATGGCAGCGATCAGCGACTTATAGAGGGACTGCGGCAGGCATTCTGACACTGTGGGGGAACTGTCTCTGCAATCCCCAGTGACAGCAATACAGTGATCAGTGCTAATAAAAAGCACTGACACTATACTAACGACACTGGGCAGGATCAAGATCTGGGGTGATCAAAGGGTTAACTGTGGGCTGTATGTGTGCTTTACACTGTAAGCACACTGCTTTGTATGGCTCTGCTATGCAGAGCCATACAAAGCAGTGTGCAGGAGCTGACAGGGGAGAGATCTGTATTGTTTACATACAGGTCTCTCCCTCATCAGTGATACACAGTGATCGCCGGGTACCGGAGGGGAATCATCGGCCGGGACCCGGTGATCGACAGGTGAGGCCGTCAATGATGGCATGGGTAGGGCGCGTGCCCCCTACCCGAAAAAGCAAAATCACATTTATACACATCTGGTTTTGTGCACCCCTGTCCTGTAGCAGTATATCTGCTATAGGACAGCGGGAAAGTGGTTAAACAGCATCTATTTAACCTACCAGCATATCATTGGAGTGGGAGGAAACCAACGCAGGCACAGGGAGAACAGGCAGGTAGTGCTGTGGTTGGGAATCCAACTAGTGACCCTAGTACTGCCATACTACCAGGCAGAAGTGCTAACCATTTAGCCACTGTGCTGCCCATTCGTATTCATAGTTCCCCCTCCATGCAAGGCCTCACTATTGGCACAATTTAGGAATGCATTTCCCTCTACACTGATGACACACTAGTCTAACTAGCAGATCCCAATGCATCACTACACTGCCCTCTAAGAAAAAAGTGGAAATTGGAGACTATTCTGGCTTTTAGGTACATTGGGACAAATACAGTCTTTTCCCCTTGGATCAGATGGCTACACGAGTGATCCATACAAGTTCAAAACTTCAGATTGTCAATTCCGGTTTGTACTGTATATATCTAATAATGTTCGTATGTCCTTTGATCGCTCAGTTATAACAACAAACTAAGCATCGGACGGATCTCCCATTGGATCTTATGGATAGAGTTAATATTCTTAAAATGATCTATTTACCTAAATTGTCATACGTCTCGGCTAACTCCACCTGAAGGATACCAAAGACAATTTTTAAACAGATTGAAATTATCATTCCTTTGGCATTGTTACCAACACTCACGAATTGGTGGAGCCTGATCCAGACCGTCACTCAGGCCAGTGCCAGGATGAGGGGTGGTAAAATCCTGCGTGTCTTGGACATCTTTTTGAGCAGGAGCAAAGAGCAGCATCTCTGTCCAACATCCTTCCCTGGGGACCTACACCCCCCCCCCCAGAGCTGCTTATATAGGGAGAGCAGTTGTACACACCAATCTTTGACAATGCTGCTTCACTGCACCCAGGCAATGACAAAATCTTCTAGAGAGGAGGGGGAGCAGAACGGCTGGCAGATTCAGGATGGTGGAGCATTACTGACTCAGAGAGTCACCAAGCAGAGAGACAAGGCTTCTAAATAGAGCAGGTTTGCCAATTCTCCTGGTAAAACTCACTCCCAACCTTCTTCTGCTGCACTGGGATCTTGTCCCCTCTGCAGAGTCTTCACAATCTCTGGAGCAAACACAGGCTGCATACCTAGGCATCCCCCTCAAACACTGTAAGTAAGTAAGTAAGGCTACTCACTACTATACCTGCCAGAGTTCATTTCAAGTGTGCTATTTGCATTTGGAATCTGTTGCTGTCAACTCGCAAGATGAGATCCAAAGAGCTGTCACTATCAGTGAAGCAAGCCATCATTAGGCTGAAAAAACAAAACAAACCCATCAGAGAGATAGCAAAAACATTAGGCGTGGCCAAAACAACTGTTTGGAACAACATCCTATGGACAGATGAGACCAAGATCAACTTGTACCAGAGTGATGGGAAGAGAAGAGTATGGAGAAGGAAAGGAACTGCTCATGATCCTAAGCATACCACCTCATCAATGAAACATGGTGGTGGTAAGTGTCATGGCGTGGGCATGTATGGCTGCCAATGGAACTGGTTCTCTTGTATTTATTGATGATGTGACTGCTGACAAAAGCAGCAGGATGAATTCTGAAGTGTTTCGGGCAACATTATCTGCTCATATTCAGCCAAATGCTTCACAACTCATTGGACGCCGCTTCACAGTGCAGATGGACAATGACCCAAAGCATACTGCAAAAGCAACCAAAGAGTTTTTTAAGGGAAAGAAGTGGAATGTTATGCAATGGCCATGTCAATCACCTGACCTGAATCCGATTGAGCATGCATTTCACTTGCTGAAGACAAAACTAAAGGGAAAATGCCCCAAGAACAAGCAGGAACTGAAGACAGTTGCAGTAGAGGCCTGGCAGAACATCACCAGGGATGAAACCCAGCGTCTGGTGATGTCTATGTGTTCCAGATTTCAGGCTGTAATTGACTGCAAAGGATTTGCAACCAAGTATTAAAAAGTGAAAGTTTGATGTATGATTATTATTCTGTCCCATTACTTTTGGTCCCTTAACAAGTGGGAGGCACATATGCAAACTGTTGTAATTACTACACCGTTCACCTGATTTGGATGTAAATACCCTCAAATTAAGGCTGACAGTCTGCAGTTAAAGCACATCTTGTTTGTTTAATTTCAAATCCATTGTGGTGGTGTATAGAATTGTGTCGATGTCCCAATATTTATGGACCTGACTGTATATACACTTATAAAAGGGTATGCCAGGGATACTCACAAGGGAACTGGTGACTAAGGAGCAGTAGCCCATAACAAAATAGACCTTGAAGAATTAAAAGAGCAAACATGATAAGACTGTGAAAATGTAAGCAATAATAAGCTGGGGGTGAAAATGATAATAAAAATAAGAATAAAAATAAAAAAATGAGTTAAAATATATACAGGTGAAACTTGAAAAATTAGAATATCGTGCAAAAGTTCATTTATTTCAGTAATGCAACTTAAAAGGTGAAACGAATATATGAGAGAGACTCATTATGACAAATCACGGCTTGAACTATCTTGATTTGCACGTAATCGTGATGATTATGGCTTACAGCTCATGAAAACCCCAAATCCACAATCTCAGAAAATTAGAATATTACATGCAATCAATAAAACAAGGATTGTACATAGAACAATATCAGACCTTTGAAAAGTATAAGCATGCATGTGTACTCAGTACTTGGCTTGGGCCCCTTTTGCAGCAATTACTGCCTCAATGCGGCGTGGCATGGAAGCTATCAGCCTGTGGCACTGCTGAGGTGTTATGGTCTCATGTCTCTCATCTTTCTCTTGGCAATGCCCCATAGATTCTCTATGGGTTCAGGTCAGGCGAGTTTGCTGGCCAATCAAGCACAGTAATCCCATGGTCAGTGAACCAGGTTTTGGTGCTTTTGGCAGTGTGGGCAGGTGCCAAGTCCTTCTGGAAAATGAAGTCAGCATCCCCATAAAGCTTGTCTGCGGAAGAAGGCATGAAGTGCTCCAAAATCTCCTGGTAGATGGCTGCGTTGACCCTGGACTTAATGAAGCACAGTGGACCAACACCAGCAGATGACATGGCTCCCCAAATCAACACAGACTGGGGAAACTTCACACTGGACTTCAAGCATCTTGCAGTGTGTGCCTCTCCATTCTTCCTCCATACTCTGGGTCCTTAGTTTCCAAATGAGATGCAAAAGTTGCTCTCATCAGAAAAGAGGACTTTGGACCACTGAGCAACAGACCAGGTCTGTTTTTCTTTAGCCCAGGTAAGACGCTTCTGACGTTTGTTGTTCAGGAGCGGCTTGACAAGAGGAATACGACATTTGAAGCCCATGTCCAGGAACCATCTGTGTGTGGTGGCTCTTGATGCACTGACTCCAGCCTCTGTCCACTCCTTGTGAAAGTCCCCAACACTTTTGAATGGCCTTTTCCTGACAATCCTCTCCAGGCTGCAGTCATCTCTGCTGCTTGTGCACCTTTTTCTTCCACACTTTTCCCTTCCACATAACTTTTTATTAATGTGCTTTGATACAGCACTTTGGGAACATCCAACTTCTTTTGCAATTACCTTTTGAGGCTTTCCCTCCTTATGGAGGGTGTCAATGATGGTTTTCTGCACAACTGTCAGGGCAGCAGTCTTTCCCATGATTGTGGTTCCTACTGCACCAGACTGAGAGGCCATTTAAAGGCTCAGGAACCCTTTGCAGGTGTTATGGCTTAATTAGCTGATTAGAGTGGGACACTTTGAGCCTAGAATATTGCACCTTTTCACAATATTCTAATTTTCTGAGATTGTGGATTTGGGATTTTCATGAGCTGTAAGCCATAATCATCACAATTATGACAAATCACAGCTTGAACTATCTTGCTTTGCATGTAATGAGTCTATCTCATATATTAGTTTCACCTTTTAAGTTGCAATACTGAAATAAATGAACTTTTGCACGATATTCTAATTTTTCAAGTTTCACCTGTATTAAATAAAAAAGGAAAAGGAGAATATAAATAATGATGTACTTCATAAATAAAAGGTGGTAAAGGAGAGTAGTGAAGGATAATGGTAGGAATAGAGGAGAAGCAAAATGTATTACAAAGGTATAGGATTATGGTAAAGGTATCATAATCCTATACCTTTGTAATACATTTTGCTTCTCCTCTATTCCTACCATTATCCTTCACTACTCTCCTTTACCACCTTTTATTTATGAAGTACATCATTATTTATATTCTCCTTAGGGAATGCGGGGATCAGAGAAATAGGAAATCAGTATGATTGAGGGTATTGGCTGATGTATATGAAAAATGGAGAGAAATAGTAGACTAGTGTGGTAATGTGTAAATGGAAGGGGAGGGTGAAGGGATTATAGTATGATGGACAGTTCTAGTTCCTCGTTGAGGCCTACAGGTGCCAGGGTATTTAGGGTATAGATCCAGAAGGTCTCTCTTTGGCAGAGGCGTTTAAAAACGTTCCACTTGGGAGGGACCCCTGGGGATGGTTTCTATTACCCAAACTCTCATGTGATCTGAGGATTGAGAGTGAGATTCTGAAAAAATATTTGGGAATGTAGAGTT